CACACACACACAGAGGCATCAGCAACCCACTGCCACATGCCAAGAGCAAGGGTTAGAATGCTTCACAGTGGTAAGCTGCAGGTGCTGCCACCAGTGTGCTGATGAAATTGGCAAAATATGTGATTTTGCTCCTCTACCTCGCTCTTTATCAACAGCACCCCAGCACATACAAAGTGCTTTCTCATTTCCTCAGGCTCTAGGATCCTTATGTTCTTGGAACATTTCCCCACAGAATCATCTCCCTCCTTCCGTCTCAGTAGTCTACATTCAAAAATAAACTCCCTTCTCCTCAATCTTCCACCTCTATATAGGACTGTCAATTTGTCATTGAGTAATAAAGTCATTTTATACTAAGGAGTGAATGACTGATAGACATTCCCTATTAGGGGAATGCACCTGAAAAAGAGAGAGAGAGAGAGAGAGAGAGAGAGAGAGAGAGAGACTTATGACCTTAAATGAGTTTTCAATTGGTTAAACATGTAGAATTAGTTTGAAATGTGACCTTGTACAGGTATATGCTCTTTTTTTGTGGTGGGGGAAGTTCCCTGAATTCTTTCTTATCTGAGCCTTGCTTCCCAGGGCAGAAATTAATGACTACCACTTCTATAAAGTAGGCGGAGACTCTTGATCTGATCTAGTTGTCTGTGATGGGGTGGGTTTAAAACTATGACTTTGATTCTGATTCCCTCTGGTGTCTCTGAGAACAAAACTCATCCATATGTACAGTGAACTCAGAGAGGCTGGGGTCAAAGTCAAGCCCAATATAAGAACAAAGAGGAACCAGGGATGTTTGGGAAACAAGAGCTCAGTGCCACAAAGGAGAGATGAAATGGAGTGCTGGAGTCACCACCACCACAAACGGAAGTTGTCATGGAAACCCCCATTAGGAAGCAGGCAGTTGGATTTTGGAAACTGGATGAAGCAAGACTTGATGGGGAGAGAGGGAGAAAAACTGAAGCTCCAGAATGAAGTCAGACACTGAAGAAGAATGGAGTCATCATGCTGCCATGGTGCCTATGAAACTACGCATCACTGTTACAGGATTGGAGCACGACAGATCTGAAAGGCCAGTCTGTCCAGCTAGGAGATCTATGAGTAAATGTGTTAGAATCTTCCTTTTGCGGCATTGCAGTGCTCATGACTCATCCTGCAGAACAATGTGACAGGTGGGTGGAATCTCTTTTAAAAGATTTCCAAAAAAAAAAAGAGGTAGTGTATCCATATCTAATATTTAGCAGGCTTTAGTTCTCCACTTAAATAATAAGGGTAGAGAAAGGTAAAACAATTGCTTCTGTGATATTTTTGCAGTAAGGAATCCCTTCTGAATATGGACACGAGGATTGTGCAGGCATACCAAAGATTGACTTCCCTGTTTTCTGGCTCAAACAAACTCCAAAATTATATGATTACATGGATTTATAACACTGGCATACATAAGGCACATGGATTGGTTTTCCATAAATTACCTCTTAAAGAAGACTCTGTAGTGCTAAATGTACACATGTGGTTACAAAAATTTTCCAGAGAGGAAAAGCAGAGAGCATGCCAGAGAAAAGAAAGAACTCTTTCAGCAGCACAGAAACTACAGAGGGCTGATTCAAAAGCCAAGTACATGCGTAAGTTCTGATATCTGGATCTGGAATAAGAGATTCTTCAGGACAGCAAATAGGATATATGAGAAAAAAGTAAAACAAGATGCCACACTGTAATATGTAGAGATAAAAGGACAGGTGACTTCAGCAATTCGAAGATCTGTCATGAGTAGACTAACGTGTCTGTGTTTCTATGACAAATAATATAACAGTTATTCATTATGACCCTAGTGACTTCCTTTTGTATTCGTGAGTTAGAGTCTGACTTGATGTTGGGTACGATAGGACTTGAAGTGGAACTATAGGGATTCAAAAATGGTATGCTTTAAGCAATTGCTATGTTAGTAGTTTAATACTATAACCATGACAGGCTCAACTGAGGGATATACTGGGACTACAAGAGGAGATTAGCAGTAGAAGGAAAAAAAAAAATCTGGGACAGAACAGTGATGAGGTAGGACCCATTCTTGGCTCTCTGATTTGTCCCCTGGGGAAATGGGGCAAGGATTCACTGACTAACTAACAATTGACTGAAGCCAAAAAGCAGACTGCAGCCAAAAAGTGAATAAAGAATAAGAGCCGAAGTTCCCAGGCAATAATGAATATCAAAGTTGTGTGATGGAAGCTCTTGGGTTCTAGACAGATTGTCTAATTTGGGGCACACATTGCAGAGGGTTCAGAATATACCCCAAGAACTGAGGCAGCGGTGGCATCCTCTAGATTCATGCAACCACAGGTGGAACAGAAACGTGGTATCTTGGTGCGCTCAAAGCTCAGGCCTGGTTAAACTTGTCACTAAATCATTGGTTATCTGATTTGTATTAGTCAAGATTTGATCAGGAAAATAGAAACTACTCCAGATATTTCCAGAAGAAAAGATTGAACGCAGGGAATTAAAGGCTTGTGAAACCTTTGGGAGGCGAGGGGAACAAGGGTCAGTGAAAACTACTTCTAGAATTTAGGAAATGAGGGAGTGCAGGAATTGCAAGAAACTTTAGTCAATGACCTCAGATCCTGCAGCAGCGCTGTAGGTGATCCACAGCAGGACTGCCGGAAGCCAGGGTCAAAGTCTCACCTAGGTCCTTCGTGAAAGCCTCCAACCCCGCCTACTGCTGCTATAGGAGCAGTGAGTGGTAAGGCAGCTTCTCTTCTACATTTCACTCCCTCCTTGAGATTTTCTCTTTGGCACAGTGGAAGCAGGAAATCTCTGGCAAGTCTTTTGGGAAATGGAACTTCCAGATTTTGCAGCCCATGTGATTCAGGAAGAGCACAGAAGGGGGGAAGAGATGATCTGACACAAGGCCTAAGTGAGAAACGCCAGTAATACGCTGCTTGCTAGTGGAGCTGCGATCCTAAAATTATTCCCGGAAATGGGTCAGACTGACCCAGGCTCTTGGGGTGGCTGAGTCTGGGTGGGATTGATGCTGGGGGAGCAAAGCCCAGCAGGCTCTGCAGAGGCAGCCAAGCGCTGTGATGGCTTAAAGAGTGTGTGTGACCATGTGGGAAGAGACAGGTCAAGGAGGAGGAACATGGCTGGTACAACGTTATGACCTCCAGGAGTGCAAGAACCCATATTATGTTTTAGAACTTTCAACGGAGTATGGCATACAAACGCGAGACAGAAAGCACAATTGACTGAGAGGTAGGCGAGTTAGGAGGCAGATTCTATAGGCAGATCCAGCCGTTCAACTTATAGTTATTGGAAGTGTTTTATGAATAAAATATTATTCCAGATGAGGTAAAAATTAAAATAATCTGAATTAGGGGGATGGTGTCGGAATTATAAAAAAAAAAGAGAGGTAGAAATGTGAGACTTTGAAAAGGAAGTGGATAGGACTTTACAAGTCAGTGGAGAGCAGCAAGAACAGAGGCCAAATAGGACTCCCTGGGTTGTGGTCTGAGCAACCTTGTGACTTGTTCTACTCATTGAGAAACGAAGCACAAACTAAAAACTGGTTTTGAGTAGTTCTGTTTTGGATCTGTTCGGTGTAAAGCATGCTAGGATGTTGACATGGAGAGGTCTAGCTACTCTCTGAAGATGGGGATGTAGGTGAGCTTGGTCACCCCCATTCCAGGTGGGCCAGCAAGGTAGGCCTCATGTGCAGATGGAAGTTACCATAACCTACACGTGTGATTTGGGATGTTCCCAAGTCCTATTCTCTAACCCAGTTTGATGTCTGTAATCTAACTGTTAGCACTTCACATTATTAGCTTAAAGTTAAAGCCCTTTGAACTTTTGCACTTTTGTGCCTCCTGCAGCACAGGAAACTGGGGTTGCCAGTTCCAACACCATTAGCTTGCATCATTACTGAGAATTTATATTTCCCTGTTACTACTGCTCTCAGATCTAGGAGTATGGTCAGGAAGAATTGGGAACAGAAGAACCTTTCAATCTTACACAACCCGGTGACAGAAAGACATGTAGAGTTTGAAGAGAGCACATTCCTTCAATTTCTCTTCTGTCTTCACGGCCCTTTCTGCTCTAGAATTTTTATTTCCTTGTTAATAACTTGATTGCTGAAGTTTCAGAAAATTCCACTCCTATTTCTCCAATCAAAACAAAAGGACCTCATCAAATGGAATCAGGAGTCCATTAAGAATGAATGGTGCATCTTCATTAAATTGTGATTTACATCGTAAAACAGATGAATAACAATGGAAGCACTCTGTTGGAAGAGAAATATATAAAAGAATCTTTTAGGGCTATCTAAATCACATAAAATAATATTGTGAGAAAACCCAGAGGGAGAGAAAACAAGAGACAGAGAAAGGGAATGAGAAAAAAAGCAGGACTGAAAACCCACAGGCCAGCTAAGTGGTGTGACTCATAGCTCTCAGTTTTTGGTAGACAGCTGAAGCCAGAGAATATTCAGAGCTGCAGACAAACACTTAAATTAGGCATCCTGGTAGAGCAAGGGCTCCCACCGCACTGACCTGTCCAATCACTCCTATGACGTCATTGTTGGTATGTTGATTAATAGTACTCCCGAGAGCCCCTCCCAGCCGAAAGCAATGGGTTTTACAAATGGTTCCAAGTGGACCAAAAATATTGCTCATTTCAATCTATTCCAAAAAGTTCAAGAACACAATCATATGTCAGTAACTATGGCCATATTTTCCATATAATTCTGTCTGTCTAAAATCATCAAAAAGTGGGAAAAACTGAAAGTAGTGATTCTCAGGGTTCTCCATAGCTGTAGGATAGTGTGGTGCCTAACACCTTCCCTTATCTCTTAATCAGGCTGGCATTGCTTTTATGTAGTTCGTTTGTTTATATAAACGTAAAGACCCTAGGCCAAGAAACAATTTGGAAACCACTGTTAGATGGAAACAAGATACAGAAAGAAACATGAAAAAAGACCATTGGTCATATTCCCCTGAAGAAGGGATCACTTCAACGATGTGCTAGAGCCAGCTCATGTGTACCAGTTACAAGAAACAATTGTGCACACCTCTTCCCAACTCTACATTCAGTGACTTCATGGGAGTGGCTTGACATTGGCCACAGTAAGAGTATTTGCATCATAGAAATTGGCAAATGCCACAACTCAGGGTCTTTTCTTTCTTTACCCCCGAAGGCCAGTTATAAAACGTTTATCAACATACCACTGGAACTTAATCCAAAGATAATTTGGCCAGAAAACAGCCCAAGCCCTGTGAAGCTCCGGGCTCTGTAGAATCTGGAAAGAGTGTTGTGCTTGGAAAACACACCTTTGTTATGCACATATAGACATGGCCATAAACTAGGGATCTGAGAGTCGATATGGGGAGGACCGTGAGAGTAGGCATGGCTCAGACATGGGGAATGTTCCTCACTCGACTAAGAACTGCAGAGAAAGAAAAAAGTTGAAAGAGCCAAGAAAGCTGGGACTCAGAAGGACTAGTGTACAGGGCATTCTGACAGCTAACCTCTGCTTCTGCTGGAGTCCAAACAAAAGAAAACTGGGCTTCGACAACGCATTCCTTTGGCATCACAGAGAATTTTCTTAGAGCAAGGATCAGTAAGCCCTGGGTTGAGTAAGTGAGTGACACAGCAGAAGCTCTTTCTAAGAGGTAACTAGATGGATGCCATCTGTCTGCGGTGTCTGCTGCTCCTGCCTGGCTAAGGCAAAGACTGGACAATCTCTGCTCCTTTCCTGGGTCCTCAGGCTCCTCTGGAAAGACTTCAGTAAGTTGGAGGAAGAGTAGAAGCTGTCAAACACAGACTAAGAAAGGCCCTGGGAGATCAACAGAAGGGAGTCTCATTCCAACTTGAGGAAGAAATTGATTTGTTTAAATGAGTCTGGGACAAGCCTACCTTTGCCTAAAAAGCCCTCTCTAAGTCCCTCTGAGCCATGTTAGTTTAAGACATAGGGATCAGCTCAGGCAATCAACACTACACAGCATGGTGGGGCCCTAGAATGCACTTCCTGTTTTAACCAGTTGCCCAGCAATTGTGTGTCATTGTGATTGGGCAGCCAAGCATGAGAATGCAGGTGACCCATGCTTGTTCATGTCAATCCTGAGACCCAAGTTCATTCAAAGGCAATGTCTTCCCCAGGAAGACCGAGCACAGGCACATTTTTCCTAGAAGG